AGACATACCAGGATTCAGCTAGTAAACCCCAACAGGAAAAAAAAATTAGGCCTGTGACAAGGGCTTGGGCCTAGGCTTCTATTCTTCGGCAGCTTATCTTTCTTAGTTGACAGCCTGGAATGAAACTAAGACCTCTGAACCCTGTCATCAGCATCTCAAGTCTTCTTGGAGTGTCTCAGAATGTTTATTCACGGCTCTGGCTGGGCAGATGACACATGTATGAGATCTGTCTGGGGCTAGAGCCTGAGATGTCCACCATGAGAGACATGAGCTGAATCTAGTCCAGAGGCACCTTGGAGGTTGTCCAACCAATGCCCCCAGTTGACTTGCCCATCCAGAAGGCAGGAGAGGGACTATTTGCATCTCTAGGAAAGTAAAGGGACTGCTTGGGCAACTATGCCAAGACCTCCTTGTATGTGGCAGCCCTGGGCAGGCCGCCCTGTGGTTTGAAACCTGGAGCAGGAAAGGAATATAATGACTAGGAATCTTTTCATGATACCCCAATGTAGTTTCATGATGTTTTAGTCTAGTATGCTTTCCTGACATTCATCACTATTCATCTTTGGCATAACCATGCAGGAAGCTCAGGGAAGACTAATGCAGCATTATGAGACTGTTCTCTGTGCTGAATCTACTCTTTTTCTTCTGCCCTGTAGGGTCTCCCTAGGAACAACAGGCTCAAAACACCCAGTAGTTCAGTAAATATTTCCCAAACCGCTTCTCTGAGTTAACTGCAACTGTATACCTTAGGAACTGGGGTTAAAATTGAACTTTTTAATGCTCTGAGATTGTATCTGTATCTGTATCTCTATCTATCTATCTATCTATCTATCTATCTATCTATCTATCTATCTAATTCTCAGAGGACTAGGCTTTTCAGGATGTGTAAATTATTCAGATCACTCAAAGGAATGGATATACTGTCCTTAAGGGATATACATATCATGTTTAAAAACTAAAAGTAAATACATAACAGAAATAGTAGACATATCTCCCGAACTAGAGGAGTTTGGATACATTATTTTATCACTTTGACCTTCAGTTCTGCAAAATAAGTTTAATGATCTTGGTCTAGAGGTGCCAGATTTAACACATGAAATTACAGGGCACCTGGTTCAATTTGAATTCCAATTTGAAACAATGAATGAAAAAAAAATTTTGAGAGTACGTCCCACACAGTATTTGGAACATACAGATAGTACAGCTTATTTATTACTTATCTGAAATGCAAATTTAACTGGGCATCTTGCACTGTATTTGCCAACTCTACCCATCCAAACTGGTTCAGGAATTTAATGAGGTGCCAAAGGACCAATATGTGGGTTAATAGTGTATGAAAGTACCTTACTGTTTACAGAATTGTGTGTCAGTGAGAAGGATTTGGTGGGCATGGCTTTGGTGCGAAGGGGTCTCCTGTAGGCCTGTGAGTCTGGTCTCTCCAGAGATCCCAGGACATGAAGAGGAAGATCCAGTGCTGCATCCCACATGAACACTTCATATTCTGGAACATTAGAATCAAAATGGATGGCTTAAAATGAGGATTGGAGCAACACTTGTGAATTGTGAAGGAAGCATCTTCTGGCTGCATCCTTGGAGTATGAGATCTAGAATGCTTTCACTAAGACCTGTTGGAGGATGAGCATAGAGGGGAATGGACTGAATTCAAGGGATTTGAAACCAGTATCCTGGGAGAGGCAGGAAGGATGGGAATTTGTGACCAGGGACCTGTGAATTCAGGGCATACGAGCCACAGGTTTTCCATGCAGCACAGGTCTGACTTTCTAGATGATGCCACTGCCACCCAAGATGACATTTTGCTTTAGTGAGTGGCCTAGAGCAGACATTCCAGTCTAGAGAAGTGAAACAGCAGTAGCAGCAGCAGTTTACTGTGGGAAGGCTGGAAAAGCCTTTGGCCCCTTCATTCTTCCCTCCTCCCATTTCAGAGACTAGAAAGTAAGGAGCAGGTTGGGGAAATGACTCACCAAAGGTCATGTAAAATTTAGGGGCAGACTAGGACTGGAGCCGACATCTCTGCTTCCCAACTGCGGGTCAGGTTCTCTGCAGCCCATACTGCCCTGGTATCCCATTTCTGAGCAGGCCTCTTAAGCATTGTCCTTCGAAGGCCAATAATTTGCCTCTCAGGACAGTATTTATAGTGTACAAAATGCTTTCATGTTATTTATCTCAGCTCTCATCAACTCCTACCTCCCTACACCAGTTCTCTGAATATGCACAGGTCGCCTACAGACAGGCAGTGTGGTGGTTAGAGTGGAGACATGGGACTGTAGTCTGGCTCTGCTATGAATCGTGCAAATTATGTAACAAGTGGACTCTGCTTGAGTTGCCTCATCTATAAAGTGGGGATGATAACTAGTATGCAATTCTCATGTGAGGACTAAATGACTGTGCTTCTGATAGCGCCTAACAATTGTTGGGGCTTAAAAAATACAATCTCCTATTCTTAGACTATCCTTAATATTTTAGAGCTCTGTTCCATGACCCCAAAGTCTTTTTCCTTATTCCTGTTTCCCTTCAAGACTCAGTTCAACTTCTTCTGTCTAGGGAATCCTCTTCCTTCAGCAGAATTAGCTGTGCTTAACATTTATTGCACATTTTAAGTGCATTATATTTGATTATTTTCTGGTTTATCTCCTCTCTTCAACACCAAGCATATAATCAGGCAGATGTTTGTGTTTATGATATTTGTTGAATGAATAAACACATTATTCCACTGATTTCTAAATCAAGGAGTCATTGTCTCTCTCTTTAGAGTATAGAGAATACACTGAAGGAAAGAAAAGCCTCTGTCCAAGAGAAACAGAAGGAGGCCCCCTGGAAAGTGGGCCACCCACCGACCCTGCCTCTTAGGGGTGCCCTACTGAGCAAAGCTATGAGGTAAGGCAAGTTCAACGTGGAATACAACCATAATCAACTAACAAGACCACAAGCATGGTCACCCAGACAACACCGATCCAATGGGAAATCACAAGGTGAGTGTGCAGTGGGGAGAAAAAACCATGGTGAAACATTAAGCCTGCAACAAGTATAATCGCTTAGGTAACACTGATTAAATAGGGATCAAATTGGGAACCAAGTCATGCAGCAAGTGCTCATGGCACAGACAAAGACCCTCCTGGGAGGGAAGGGCCACGGAGGCCTGGTCACTCACCTCAAAGCGACCAAGGCCTACCCAGAACATCAACCACTGCCATTCATCCCCAGGGGAAGCACAAGATGCAGTCATTCCTCTCTTCTTGAAGCCTGGCCCTCAGCAAATGTGTCTCCAGCCACAGTTGTCCTCTGCACTGACCCCTTCAGAGCCCAGCCCCACCCAACTGCCTACGACACTTCTAAATTATCTAGCTATCTGCAATATTCTCCCCCCTGAAGAAGTATCCCTAACTTCAGTTAGAGGAGAACATGCATAGTTTTCACCCAGCTGCTTTGACCTGAGATGGGTTGGTGTAGGGACCACAGTCCGGAGTCTTCTTCAGAGAGCTAATCTAATGGCCCTCAGAAAGATGTCATGTTGTGGTTTAGCAGTTAAAAACTCTTTACAAGGTTAATTGGGTGGGTCCTGGTAAAAGGAGTTCAGCATGTTTGTTGTTGCTTCCATCTGCATGGCTACCTGGAGTTTTGCTTCCTTTTGGCAAGAATAAACAATTTTTTTTTGAGAAATTAGAGCATGTATAATCAAAGCATGAGCACTAGACTGGAAAAGAAGGCTGCGTTAAGAGCCAAGTGTAGAAACTGTTCTATAGGGACTTGAATAGTAACTGTAACTCGCTGGCTCTTAAATGCCTCTATCTCAATGGCTGTTATCTGTAAGTCTGTTATTTGGTTGTAAGCCCTTCTCCAGTTTTAGCTGTGAAAAGACAGAGTTTTGTGGTTTAGAAGGAAAATTTTAGCTAAAGAATTTAAAGATTCTTGTTGAGCTTTTATACATTTTCCTGTAGTTTTTCTTAAGGACTCATCACAGTGGTCAGTTGCTGGAATAGCTGGAAATTGTCAGGAGTCAGTGATTGGTGCCCCTTTGTATAACTAGCTTATTCCTATGGCTTTGTTTTATGCATCTTTTGTTTATATTTTTCTGCTGGGTGTTTCAGTCCAAGTTAAAGTGAGACATGAGTTAATTAAAATTAGCCTCTTGCTATTTATCAAGGTCAGTTAGAGCTCCTCAGGCATTGCTTGGAACCATGTGTAGAGTCTCTCAGCTCTTCTATCAGTGCCAGCCATCAGGATGGGTCACAGCCTTGCTTGACCATGTTGCTTTCTGTGAAATTATGGGAGACATTTCCTCTTGGTGACCCTCCATTGGCACACCTTACATGTGCTGATTCTTGTCCTCTGGGGTCCAGCAATCTCTCTGCTCAGGAGGTTGGGTGACTCCCCAAAGTTGTAGGATCTTGTACAAAGGTTTCCTCATGTCCTGTGTCCTTGCTGATGTTAGAGCACTAGGACTAAAATATTGGATTTCCTCATCCCAGTTGTCTTTCTAATTCTGGTCTCTAAATATTAGTTATTGAATATCCAAGAGAGAAGATCAATGACATTAGTATTGTAGCAAGGGCAGTGAGTCTAACTATTATAATTTTACCTCACATCAAACACTTTGTAATAAAAAGTACAGATAGATTGTTACTCCTTACCTACCATGTTGTTTTAGTCGTTCAATAAGGAGTCATTCTTGATTTCTTTCCCTTGCCCCCCTACCCAATCCAACAGCAAGTCTTGACAATCCTACTTCTAAAACATACCTTGGAAAAAACAAAACAAAACAAAAACATATCTCAATTCTGCCTCCAGAACAGATCAGGCTACCATCTTCTCACATCTGGACAGCTCAACCTGATCATTGGTTTCTGTCTTTGCTGCCCTGTTATCTACTCTCATCCCACCGCTTCAAACTCTGCCTCAATGTCTCATTGCTCTAAGAATAAAATCCAGTCTTCTTACATAGGCCCCAAGCCCTGCAGAATCAAGCACATACCATTCTCTGCTTCACTTTTTTTTAAAATTTATTTTTATTTTAAAGAGAAGAAAACCAAGCAAAATAAAACAATAACGCCAGTAAACACAAACCAGTGTGACACAGAACTTCAAAACAATATGAAATCAACAATGGTTACTATAATGCCTCCTGTTGTCTTCAAAATAGCTGCCCATACCTTCAGACATAGGAAAAATCAAGCAAAACAGAAAAGAACAGAACCAATAAAAACAATACAATGAATGCAATAAAGGATTTCCAAACAAGATAATAATAAATCCAAAATGGGTATCATAATTATGTCTTGTAATCCTTGAAACAGTTGCCCATGCCATTGGATATAATAAAATCAAACAAAACAAAACATAATAAAGCCCAACCCAACAAAACAATTAAAATGATACAGGACTTCAAAACAAGATAATAGGGAATTAACAGTGGCTAACAGGAGATCTCCCATAGATGCTACATTGCATATTGTTGTCCTCTGAATAGATGATCAGACTACGGGCTTTAGACCTGCAAAGTCAGTGAAACACTAAACACTACAACTATTAAATTGTATTTTACCTCAGTAGTTATCATTGCAGCCTGTGTTTCTCTGGATCAGCCAGTTGCTTTTGAGGGGTGAAGGTGGGGTAAGGTGTCTCTTCCTGTTTCCTAGCCCACTGATTCACAGAGGGGGCTTGCTTCTTGGTGACTTCTTATTCTCTTCCCCTGTAGTCCATGAATCTCTCCGCTTCACTTATGATGCTTCACTTATTCTCATCTTCTCTCTGCTTCTTTTTCTCTTCCAAGTCTTACAATTGCAGTTTGTTCTGGTTGTTGTGGAGTTGGCTCCTTCTGATTTTAGTTAGGCTGTTACCACCAGAGAGGCTTTCCATGACCAGCCTAAGGGGGTGTCGCTCAGTTATTTTGTGTCCAAACACCCTTTCAATTTCTTTTCTGGCAATTATCTTAATCTACAAATTACTTAACTGTTTACCCACTGTATTAGTCAGAGTCATTTACTAGAGAAAACAGATATAACACAAGATATACAAATGTATAAGACATTTCAAGATAGGCTTACGATGGTCAGCCAAAGCGTTGGATGAGGAAGTGTGCAGAGGGTGTCTGCATACCAGAGGCTGAAGGAGTCAACCCAAGGTCTGGAGTTCACTGCTGTATCCCATGCAGGTGTGCACCAGTAGGCCAATGGGTCTGTGAAAAAAAGGCTGGAGAATCTATGCCAGAAGGCTGAAGGATCTAAGACAGAAGCTGAACAATCTGCACTGGAAGCCAGAAGATGACATCCAAGTTGAAGGTGGAGACTGGAGCCCTCTGAAGAATGAAACTCATGCATCCTTCCTCCTTCTCTTTTATGCCATCCAGGTGATGAATCACCCTAGGGTGGGTCTTCTACGCCCTAAGGTGTAGAATTGCTGAGCTGATTTAGTTAGGCTTCTAAATGTCTCAAGTTGATACAATCAATCAACCACTATACCCACCTATTAATTGATCATTTCATTTGCTATACTCAAAGAACCATGAGTACAGGATCCCTCTTTCTCTTCTGCTGTTCAGTAGAGTTTCTCCAGATTTTTCCTAAATGAATGAATGGATGCATCCTCCTCTAGAACACTGTAACTGCTAGATGCACACTTTACAGAGCAGACAAAACAGCTTAGAGAGATTGATTCTTGCTATAAAAGGCTGGAAAGTGGTCCAGCAAGATTCACAAGATCATAGCCATTTCCCAACAGAACATTTCACCTTGAAAGGAGATAGACTCTGGGCTGCGAACCCAGTTGGGTTGATTCACAGACTAATTTCACAGTGTGGGACTGGATGGCAGAGATTCAATATTCCTGCCTCTTAAAGAGGTAGAGCTGCCAGTGTGTGCCTAAGGATTACATCCAATCCCAAATTCCAGACTGCATTTGAGGCATTGCACATCCCCCAATAAGCCCTAGAAGAACAGTGCAGTAATTGTTTGAGAAAGGAAATATGACCCACAGTTCTGAGAGGAGGCCTGATCTCCCAGGACCCTTTTCAGAGGTTGTTCTAATTTGGGCCTGACAGGACAAGAAAGATGTTTCTAATTCCCTTGTACCAGTATTGGCCTCAGTGGGAAGAGTTGTGTCATTCCCAAATCCCCCACTGTTGCCCAAAAGTGAACCTGATTATTGTCATTATTTAAAGTGCCATCTCGGTCATGGATAGTAAGCTGGCAGCAGGTGCCATTTCTGTGATTCTAAGAGCAAGGCTCTTGGAAAGGGAGCCTAGTAACATAGAGTGCTTGACCAGAAATCAGAGGATGGGGAAACCTACCTGCTGTCCAGCTTGTAGACTCGAGGCCTTCACTGGCCCTCAGTGGCCTTCTAGGTAAGCAATGGTTTATTTGGGTCTGACAGTGACCCATGAGTCAGTTAAGATCTGACCCTGGCTGTGTTGTTAATTTGCAATGTAAGATGCTGTCAAGGTCCTTTCTTTTTGAGGGTCTCAGTTTATCATCTGTGCAAGGGCTTATCTGCAGGGGCTGATGCCTAAGTCCCCCTCTTACTCTCATATTGGTTCTTTCTGTGAGCTTTTTAGAAATAACTGCTCCTCTAAAATTGAGTTGCCTCACCATCTAGTCCTCAGATGCCAGCATGAAATTGACATGGCTTTCTTAAACTAGTCTTAAACTAAAGCACATCATAGTGCTAAAGGTTTAAGGACTCCTCTGGGAACCTCCAGAGGAAGAGGATTCAAGGGTCCCCACTTGCCAAGCACTCCCTTAGTCCTGACAGTGCCCTCAGACAGGCACACACTCTGATGAAGGAGGCTTTCCACAGGGCTGAGGGCACGATGGCAGGAGTGTGACTTGTCTGAGAGTCCAGAATTTCTGGGCATGGAATCCTACAGACACTGTACCCTTTTGGTCTTGACCTATTGTGTGGAAAGACAGGTTCAGGAAAATCAGATATGTACCGATGTGTTTTGAGTGTTTAATATGGGGCAGGCTTTTGCTCAGTGCTTTACATAAATCACTTTGTTTGACCTTGAGTCCTGTTTGATAAATATGATGATTTCCATTCCACAGAGGAGGAACTGAGACCCAGAGCTAACGTAACTTAACCAATGTTACACAGCTAGAATGATCAGGTTTCAACTCAGTACTCTTTATAGCTATTTTACTGTCTCTCCTAATAGTAACAGTAACAATAACAACAACAAAAATGGAGAAAATGCAGTAGCTGTTGTGGAAATCATTCTGGACCTGAGGACTGAAGTTCTTCCGTTTATCAGCATAGTAACCTTGGGCAAGTTTATTGACTACTTCAAGTTACAATATGCCTGCTTAGAGAGTGGGGACACTCCTTCTACTTCACTGTATAAGATTAAAGGAGACAATCTACATTAAGTTCTTGGAGTTGACACCTGGCCCATAATAGGTGCTCAGTAAATGTTAGTCATGGTTGCTACTGTTATCATCAGTACTATTACCAATACTACCAGCTTCCTTCTGGGTTTGGTACAACGCTTAAGTGAGATAATGGCTAGGACAGCGCTGTTTTCTGTGCACCGGTAAGTAAGCCTGTCCCTTTTACTGCGATTACAGCAACCTCAGCAAAGAGTTATTTGTGAAACTCTGACCCCATTCCTCTCCAAAATGGTTCAACTTCTTTCCTCTGCAGCCAACACTGATGACAAATGAAGGTTTGACAGGGTGCCTACTGTGAATGATGTCCTTCAGGAAATCTCTAAGAATGATGATTCACATCAGCAAATGCTTTTCTGATCTTATTTTAGCATTACAGGGACTTTGAAAGAGGATTTCAACATTTGGCTTCATCAATTGGAGATGGTGCTTTGCAATTGATGTCGGTTTGACTTGGGTCTCTTTTCCCCTTCGTTGTTTTAAAGAAGAGATACCAGGGAGTAGATCAAAGAGTGGCTGGCAGACATATATCTACATTCAAATGAATTCTAGTGTTGGTTATTAGTAATTTTGAGAGTATTAGTAATTTTGAGAGTAGTATATGTTCATTGAAAAATATTTGAAAAATGCAGAAAAGTATAAAGGAGAAAAAGACATTCATAATGCAACAGTCACTCAGAAACAAACAGTTTAATATTCTGATATGATCTTTGATACTGTATTATCATTTTACCTGATTTGGATTATAGCCTATTCATGTAAACTATATTTTCATCATTTTAAACCACTAAAATTTTCTTCATGAATATGTTTTATAGCTGTATAATATTTCAACACAGAAACATCAGAGAACCCCAAGTACTTAAGAAAACCTCTCTCCCTTTTATTTCTTTTTGTGGTATTGGGAATTGAACCCTGGGCCGTACGCATGCTAGGCAGATGCTCTACTATTGAGCTACCTTTTCAGTCCTCAGTCCTTACTGTTAAATATTTAGACTTTAAAATATCCATTACTGCTTGGGGGTTTAACTCAGCAGCGTAAGTGCCTACTTGGAAAATACAAGGTTGTGAGTTCAATCCCCAGCACCAGAAAAAAAAAAAAAAAAGGTTTCATTATTATTATACATAATATGAACATTTTTGTATATAGATTTGTATATCTGATTATTTACTTCCCTCAGATGCTTAAGAGGGCATTATGAGTCAAAGAGGAGTACAAGCAATTTTAAGGCTTCCCAGAAAGGTTGAATCCTATCTATCTTTATATTCCTGCCAAAGTAAGAGACACTCCCTGGCCAATGACTAGTATTTCCGGTTTTTAAAAATTCTGTTTCCATGCAAATCAATAGGGTAGAACAACACAACTCACACTCTTGCTTTGCAATTCTTTGATTACTTTAGTTGCATATGTGTTTCATGCTTGGTAGTCATTTGCATTTTATTTCCTGTGAGTTGTCTGTCATTGTTCTTTGCTGGGCAGACTTGGTTAAATGTCCTACTAATCCTAGAGTTCTCAGTAGAAGATGTCAAACCTGGCCTTGCATTCACCTACATCTGATAGGAGGCCAAGCTCCAGGAGGATTAGGAAGAAAAGAGTCTACATTGGCACTGCTGTTTCGATGCAACTAGAAAGGAGAAAGTTTCTGGGAGAAGCTATTTCGATGTGCCACATCTACCATACTATTCTGTTTTTTTATTCTAAAGTTTCTCTTTTCTAGCAGAAGAGTTTGGGGCATGTTTGTGGCCTCTTTCAGTATGTTTGCCCTGGCCTCGTACATGCGCAATGCATAGTGGTCACAGTAATGGACTAACAGAAAAGAGCTTGGGTGCTGGAGTCAGGCAGGTTGTGGGCAAATCCCTAAACCTCAGGAAACAGAGGCTCTGTTTCCTCTTCTTTTAGGCACTGGTGATAACTCTACCTTTGAGGAATAAATAGGTCCTGAATACAAAACTTTTGAAATATTGCCCGCCACATCATTAGACTCTTTTTAGCCCAACAATCCTTGACCTGCTTCTGCGTATTTGACATTGGGTTGGTGCTGAGTATAAAAAGGAGCCAGGCTGGATGCTTTGCAGCATCTGCACTTCTTACAGGAGAAAGGTCAGGCTGCTCATAGACTCCAACAAGGCCTTCTCTGATCCCTGCTGTTCTGTGGTTCTTTACTAAGCCCCCTGGCTTCAGCTGTCATGGGGGGGTTGACAGCTTTCTCTAGAACTCTGGGCCCTAGCTCCAGTTGTGGGGCAATGGGAAAAGTGCCTGTTAATATTTTGGTACACACAGTGTCACAGTTACAAGTTTTATCTTTCCCCCCAACTTTAGAATCATTTTCCCTTTAGAGTTAAGGGTGGTGGATGAAGCCACTCCATCTCAGTTTGGTTCTCATACTTACTAAGTGATCCTGGGTAAGGTGCTTAATTTCTCCTGCCCCAGTTTCTTTATCTATAAAATTTAGGCCAAATTTATGCTATAGGCCAAGTGATTGTGCCTCTCTAAAATCCCTATGTTGAAATCCTAGCTCTCCTGCACCCCATATGATGGTATGTGAAGGCCTTTTGGAAATGATTAGATTGTGAGAGTGATGCTACTGCGAATGGGATTAGTGTCCTTCTTCTACCAGGTGAGGACAGAGCAGAAGGACAGCCACCTATGAGCCGAGAAGATGACCCTCACCAGACACTAAAGTTGCTGGCACCTTGATCTTGGATTTCCTAGCTATTAAAACTGTGAGAAGTATGTTTTTGTTGTTTATAATCCACCCAATCCATAGTACTCTGTTATAATAGCCAAACAGACAGAAACGTAATAGTACCTACCTTGCAGGGTTCTAAGGATTAAACACAATAATTAATGTGTATTTAATAGCAATAGTAAGAGCACAATTTTCTCTTCTTCATATTTTCTGGATGGTTTTGATAAACTACTCTTACAATGACATAATTAAATTGAATAGATTGGCCAAGCGTGTTGGTACATGCCTGTAATCCCAGCACTCAGGAGGCTGAGGCAGGAGGATTGTTGCAAGTTCAAGACCAGCCCAGGCTACAAAGTGAGCCCAAGGCCAGTCTGAACTGCATAGTGAGACCCTGTCTCAAAAAGATTAAAAAAAACAAAAGAAAGAAAAAATTCAATAGACTTAATAATCCTTTCTCTGATGTTGGGTAGTTAAAGTACTTCCAATTCCCGGTACCGATAAAAAGGAAAAAGACAAAAAAAAAAAAAAAATTAAAAAAAAAATAAAGTACTTCCAATTTTAAACATAAGCTATCATTCTTAAGAAATAAAAAGTCGGGGCTGGGGATTTAGCTCAGCGGCATAAGCGCCTGCCTTGTAAGCAGGCAGTTGTGAGTTCGATCCCTGGTACCGATAAAAGCGAAAAAAACAAAAAACAATTAAAAAAAAAAAAGAAATAAAAAGTCAATCTGTGGCTTAGAGAGAAGAGCAGTCAGTTTAAGAATTAAATGTTGAATCAACAATAGTACATTCCAGGTATCTTTCAAAAAGTTCAATATTTTCTCTATATATTCTGGGTTAACTGTCCTGTCGGAGAAGCCCATTGTGGGTGATTCTTACCTGAGGCAGAGCTGGCCTGGATCACACTGCAAGGTCTTCCAGGCCTTTGCTGTGATTCTTCTGGCAAAGAAGCTGCATCAGCTTTTCTCCCCAGTTGCCTGAGAATCTGTGATACAGTGCAGCTCACGGCCAACCCAGCAGTTTTAGGTATCATTTGGAAATACCTAGTAGGGCAACTGTCAGGGTGTATCACCTGATGGGAAGGTTATGAAGCAGAGGTTTCTGCTTTGATCCTTTAGCCAACAAGGCTCAAAGTCGGCAATGATATTACTGAAATGTGAGTCTACACAGTTTGAGCGATGTCTGGGGGTCAGGCTCTATAAAAATGTTCTCTTAAATCCTCAGTTCAATTATGTGAGAAAAGATTTATTGGTCCCATTTTATAGATGAGGAAACTGCAGCTCAGGGGAAACAGCCTCAGAGAGCGGACCTCCAAGGTTACATAGTTGGCAGAGTCATGACTCAGTCTGACTCCAGAGACACAAGCTCTTCCTGTCCGCACCACAGGATCTCTTTTCAATTTAGTCAGCAGGGATTGGGGCTCACATTGTATTGCTCCTGCTAGGCACTGAGAGCCTGATGGAAGAGACAGATGATGTATGCTTGTGAGAAAAAGCAATGTGGGCAGTTCAATTTATCCTGTTCCATTTTATTTCTGAAAATTATCCTTAGTCGAGGAAGACACAGGGACGAGGTAGATTGATAGGTCAAGGCTATAATCAATGACTGAACAAAGGACAATGGAGAAATGGGGAAGGAGAAATTAATTCCCACTCAGAAATCCAGAGAAATCTTTTAGAGAATGTGGTACTTTGGTTGGGGCTACAGAGCTCAGAAGAATCTGCCGGAGAATGCAGGGAAGGGGCATGTCATGTCCACTCCCTTCCTACAGAGATGTAAAAACAGAACCTTGTTTAGTGCTTGCTAAATATTGGTCTTGAAACCAGAACACTTACACACCCTTCTCTCTTACCCCATTACAGACATAGACAGACCTATTGAGACACACCCAGAGATAACCACAAGTGCAAAAACAGGGGAAACTCACACACAAAAAAAGACGAACAAACATGCACAGATTAAGGCACTTGTGAAAGTAGATACTGGCTCCCAAGTATCTATCTCCCTAGACTCACACAGATACATATAATACTCATACACACAGACTTACTAACATGTTTGTGCTTTGGTATACAAGCACATACATATCTCTTCCCACCCACTATTCCTGCAGGCAAATTAGTACATGCTTTTCTTAACATATACAAGTTCACACACAAATCTTATTCTGCAGGTCTGGTTGGAGGCTAATTATTAATGGGAAACCAGGTACAAAGGCAAGCATCACACAAGAGAGGCCAGGACTGGTCTAGCGAAGAGGCAGAGGCCAGGATTAAACCTGTCAGATGACAGGCTCACCCTGCCAGACTGCCCCTGGAAGCCACTCAGCCGCTCAGCCAAGACAGAAGCGCCTGACCTAGCTCGATCCTGGGCGGATGGTGCAAGGCTGCGTGCCTGATCTCCAGCTTTATCTGGGTTTTAATGTCATCCAGGGTCAAGCTGTGCTATCAGCCCCACCCCAATCCTTGCAACAGGCAGGAGTCTCTCCCCAGAGAGACAGCAGGGCTGAGATCTCCGGAAGCTTGCTAACCTTAGGCTTGCCCTGACACAGTGCACAGAAGGGTGTTAGCATTAATGAAGGTTTACAATAGTGGGCCAGACAGTAGGTAGAGCCTTTTACGCACAGTATTTAATCCTCACAACAGCTCTGTGAGCAAGGTGGGATGCGTCCCATCATCTCCATTTAGTGGCGAGAAAACGGCGCCCCGGCCACAAAACCACTCAGCAAGGGAGACATAAAGCTAAGAATCAGTCTCGTGTAATTCTGTCCTCCCCAGGACCTGGAGTAAAGTGTGCATGTCAATCTACCCACCCACAAAATAAGTTTGCACCTTCTGCTCTTGATGGCTCTCCAGATCTCATGTCCAGCCTGGCCCACAGCAGGTGACTGGGGAGGATGTGGGTTTTGTGTCAGGAGGGTCTCTCAGAGCAAGGGCCTCAGTTTCCTCATCTCTGAAATGGAAGGGCAGCGCAAACCTCGCTGGGCCGAGCTGTCACGGGCGGTACAAGGAATGCCAAGCTCGACATGTTCGCCACTGCTCCGCTAGCCCTTCCCGGGCTGCAACCTCAATCCCCCTCCCCCCAAGAGCCCTTGTATTGGAGCCGCGCGGGCCCCCATTGTTCAGGAGGGCGGGGACGCTCCACAGAGAGGATTTTCCGCCCCAGGTTGCATTCGCAGTCCACTAAAGCAGACAACTTGGACCGGCATCTGCCACACGGAGTGCATCCTTTGTCTACCTCGGCGGTGCTCGGGTACCCGAGGCCCGCGCCCCGCTCTTCTGGAAGACAAAGCGGGGGCCGCGGCGAGCCGGGCCGGTAGGAGAGGGGCTTGTACCGCCCTCAACCCGCCTTACGCACCGCCCCCTTTGTTCAACGTTCTTTGATTGGTTCGAGGGGCTACAAAGAGGCTGGGAAGCGGGTAGGTCACGTGGGCAAGCGTGACTTCCCATTGGTTAGGCGAGGCTGTCAGTCGAAGAGGGCGGGCTGTCCGCGCTCTGCTGGGTCTCTCCCTGCGCTCTGGGGCCCGCCCGCGGGGCCGGCCGCCTGTCAGAGGGAGGTGGCGATGGTGCGCACCGTGGCGGCGACGGCCCTCGATCGGATGGAAGAGAAGCGAAGATGACTGCCCCAACCGACTGGCTGAATGAATGAATGGCGAAGCCGAGCGCGCCATGAGGAGTCTGCCGAGCCTGGGCGGCCTCGCCCTGTTGTGCTGCGCCGCCGCCGCCGCCGCGGCAGCCTCGGCGGGGAATGTCACCGGTGGCGGCGGGGCCGAGGGGCAGGTGGACGCGTCGCCCGGCCCAGGGCTGCGGGGCGAGCCCCGCTATCCCTTCCCTGAGGCGACGTTTCCCACGTCCCAGGCCCCGAGAACCGGAACCCCGCGCCCTGCTGCCCGCCGACCCCCGGCCGCGACCTCTCCAGCCCGGCCCCCGGAGACCACCCCTCTTCGGGCGGCGACTGGACCCGCGCTGACCACCTTCCAAGCGACCACCTCTCCAGAGAAGGATCTCACGCCCACCACATCTCGCGCACCGACCAGTCCCTCGCCGACCACCCTTTTGACGACCACTGGCCCAGCGCCGACCACCCCGGTAGCGACCACTGTCCTGGCGCCGAACGCTCCCAGGACCCCGACCCCCAGCCTCCCCAGCAGCAGCAGCAGCAACAGCAGCACCAGCAGCAGCAGCAGCAACAGCAGCAGCAGCAACAACAACAACAACAACAACGGTAACAGCAGCAGCAACAGCAGCAGCCTCCTGCCTACCCCACCTGTCACCGAGGTCCCTTCTCTTTCGCCCCCAGGTGAGTCCAGCGCTGTCCTCCCTGCACTACCCTCTCTTCCTTACCTCAACGGGGTGACAACTGAGATTGGACACTTGGCTGGAACTGATCATTTCTTGCTCTAAAGGCTCCCCTCATTTTGGCTTCTAAGGGGAGGCTCAAGCTTCAGCTGCTCCCCCTTCCCCCAGTCCCCACACCCTTTGCCAAATCTGGAAAGTCTTTTGTCCCCCCACCCACCCACCCAGGCTGTGCTCCCTTGGGAGCAAGCGGCTGCTGTGTGGAACGCAACGCGTCTCTTTCCAAACAGGCTTTCCTGCCCTTTGTCAGAGACCCAGAGTAAGCACAAACTTTTGGTTTGGTTGCTCACCGGCCATCCGGCTGGGGTTATTTGGGGAAGTTTGAAAACCAGTACAGTACGTCCATCAGTTCGTTGGTCAAAAACTGAGTATAAAGGATCTCTCCCAAAGCTGTGGTTTCCTTGTTCCTTTCTTCTTGTTTGTATCAGATGTGTGTGTGTGAGACAGGTGGAACAGAGGATTGTGAGGAGATCTTGTCTACAAATAGTATAGACCATTTCAGGCCAAACAATAAAGAAGGCATTGTAATCCATATTTTTCTCCACAAATAAGTAGACTCAGTAGGCCATTTGGGACAGGTGTATCTAGGTTGAGCACGTTTTAAAATTAGGTTAAATTCCTGTCAGGCATCATTTTTTTCTTTGTCAGTTACAAGGTCAGTATGTTTGTACCAATACACAATTTAAGCTAGGTTGTTCATCTTTGTCCCTTTAATTACCTTAAGACACTGACAAATGCCAATTTCTGTAGGAGTTCACATAGAAAATAGCGCCCTTCATCCTGCTGATGGAAGTTTTCAATCAAAGTTGGAGGGTACTCCTGTTCTTTCCCCCCATATATCTAAAATAGTCCTGAAACTAAGGAAAACTACCTTGTCAGGATGTTAGGCAAGAGTTTCTGAACTCTTCAAGTTGGGGTGGAGATTGGTCTAAAGTACTTGTTTAGCTGGATCCCTGACCTAATTCTTAGGCTGAGTGGTTTACTAAGGACTCAGGTATGGACTTTGCACTATAATTGAGTTTGTAGAGAATTTTCCCACATGGTTATGAGCCTTAATACAGCCTTAAATCTTGAGTTGGAACTTGGCAATGACATATAAGTAGGATTGCATGTTATTTACCCCCAAAAAGCATCTCTTCCAGCTTCAAGGAATGTATTAAATAGCTGTTTCTTTTTTCTGTCTTTTTTTTTTTTTTTAAACTTATAACCCCTTTTGGCCTTGTACAGAGAAAATGATATATTTTTGAGACAGAAGGCACAGTGGTTGAAAATTTGGAATCTGGAGTCCACTCTTAATTTTGAATTCTAGCTTTGCCCCTTTTTGATAATGTGAGTTCGAACAGGTACTTAACCTCTGTGGCCTCAGTTTCTTCAGCTATGAAATGAAGACAATAAAAGTACTTGCTTCATAGGGTTGCTGTAAAGCTTAAATAAGTTAATATAGCCATAATACTTAGAATAATTCCTAGTGGCAAATAAACACCATGTGTCTAGGTTATGCTTATGACCAGGCCTTTTGTTTTGTAGGTGGTACAGCATTTGGGAAACCCAGCAAGGTTTGTGATTTTTAAAGTGTGTTTTAATAAAATAGAATAGAAAAAGTATGGATTAGGTTTTTTTTTGTTTTTTGAATTTCAAGTCACAGTAGCAGCGCCTAATAGCAATTGGTTACTTTGGTTAGTATTTGATAAATAACTGTATTGTTGTTGTTTTACTTTTTATTATTTTTTAAATGCAAAGGTAACCCTTTCTGGAAAAAATCAAAACAAAACAAACCCATGAAAACCTCCTCAAAACCAAAACATGAAACAGAAGTCTACAAAGGAAAAAGTGAAAGTCACTCCCCTAGTAGCAGTTTGTTAAATTTCTTGTCATTTTTTTCTGGGCATGTATGAACATATACACAGTATTTTAGCAATAGTTTTTTAAAAGTTAAAATGGAATAATTCTATAGATACTGTTTAGCAATATGCTATATTCACTTAAGTATGTATCCTGGAATTTATTTTTTTTCAAACCAGTACTTAAGGTCTATTTTTTTTTCCTACTCCTGTGCGGCAGATTGAACCCAGGGCCTCATGCATGCTAGGCAAGGCTCTAGCACTGAGCTACACTCTCTCCCTTACCTTATTCTTTTGTGAGTTATTGCCTTCTCCATTGTCAGAATGTATCATAATTGGTTTAACTGATCTCTATTTTGTAGGCAATAAAATTGCTTCTGGGTTTTACTTTTTAAAAAAGCACAGGAAAGGATGTTAGGTTCATCATATGTTTACTGTATTCTGCAATATCTTGAAGTTTCTTAGATTTTTAAATCAATGTCTAGTGAAACTGGATTAATGAGTATTTGCCATCTGAACTTTGTTCAAGGTTTTAAGTAACTTCCATGGACTAAAATTATTTTTTCTTTTGTGATTTTTTTTGGGTAATGGAAGTTTTAGGATATCCAACTCCAATCACTCTTTTTAATATTCTGTAGTTTGTACTTTTATGTGAACTTACTCTGGGTTGCCTGTGTCTTGTTCTCAGTAGTTTCACTGATGCTGTGGACCTTTTGATAGATAATTTTAGTCTTACAGTGATATAATCAGGTATCTGAGCGTGAGGTCTAGTCTGTTTCAAATAGTAAACATGTCTCCTTGTCAATTTGAATTCAAGTGATCTTGTTTGGCTTGCAAAATTGGATTCCCTGGCATTTGGAAAGGTATTTGTACTGATTTTTTTTCTAAATTTCAATATTCCTATAAAGACTGAGGGCCATTGATAGTATATTGCTTGATTGGGTAGATCTTATGGTGCCATTTGCATTAATACAAACTTCTTTTGTTTATTTCTCAGTTAGGGTTCATTTTGTTTATAGAGATCTTGATCTGCAAACTGAAACTAATTGCCCACAAGCAGGCACTTTCCTCCCACAAACCTGGCAGTTGATTGGTTGGCTGGATAGGGCATTTTAAGAAGGGTGAAGGAAGAAATAATAATAATAATAAGCAGTGAGACACTGAGGTAATGACAAATGTCGATTTGTTAAAAATATGGACCTTCAGGGGTTGGACCTTAGGAGTCATAATCTCCTAATGTGGCTCTCTATTTTAAGTAAGACTTGGGTAGACTTAGCTGAAGTATCCTCCCTGTAGTTAACACTTACTGATCTGGTTCTGTCACTTGGGTCTGTATAAAACAAGTCTGTTCCTCTGTGCCATAGTCGTTCTTCAGGGATTTGGAGACAATGATCATGCTCCAAGCCTAGGCTAAGTAGCTTCTGTTCCTTCAATTGATCTTTATCTGATGTAGTTTCATACTCCTTCACTATCTTGGTCATTTCTATCTGCACCTTTTCAATCTTTCTGTATCTTTTCAGTCTTTTCTGTGACACCAAAAATGTGAAGCAGATGTAAATATAATTCTGCATGTGTGCAAGTAGCTTATAGCAGAGGGGCAAGTTACCCCATTCTTTTTGGATGCGATTCTGATGATGTAGTTAGTCCCTAATCACGGTAGCTTTTTTGGCAGCCCCGTTATGTTGTTGACTCACTGAGTTCATAAGATAGCCATCTTTTTGTTTTTTTAAAGTATGTGTGAGATGGATCTTTAAGAGTTGGATGTTCTTGTCATTTTCTAAGATATAATCTGAGACATTTACTAAGATTGAAGATAAGATTGATTAAATGAGGTTCAAATTATCCTTTTTTGATTCTGAGTCTGTCAGTGTACCCCACCCAGTTTATTCATATTACCTGCGGGGTGTTTCTATAGGCAGAGCCTAAGGACAAGTCCAGACAGGTGATTCTTACCTCATGGGGGAGAGAAAATTTATGGATGATAAAAGAGTACGGAGAGGAAGGGATGATGGTTCAGGCTCGTTCTCAAGGATCTTGTTCAGCTCTGAAGTTCTGTGGTGATTTGATATACATGATTTAAGGAATATCCATACTTTCCAAAAAGCATTAATTATTTATTTGTGGTCGAAGTTAGAAGAATGGACTTTCTTTAAGCAAACCCTAGAACTTAGGGCTTGAAAACTTTACAATGGCATGTAAGTAAAATATTGTAAATGTATTCTATTTGAAAATAATATTCTGGGGGGCTGGGGATTTAGCTCAGTGGCATAAGCACCTGCCTTGCAAGCAGGCAGTCGTGAGTTTGATCCCCAGTACTGACAAAAAAAAAGAAAAAAAAAAAAGAAAAGAAAAGAATATTCTGGGAACCCAAGGCCCTCCTGAATGTACAGAGAAATGCTGTCTCATCCTAACATTTTTTTACTGCTAAGCAAGGTATTATTTGTAGTGATATAAGAAAATGCCATTTATCTTAAGGAAATAAAAACTGTACATGTTTTAGAGATAATATAGAGTCACAATATTGTATCTAAAAGCTGTGGGGCTGGATGTATTTGAAAATTTTTCAGATTTTAGGAAGTTCATAATACATTCTAGTGAATATGATACAACATCCACCAATAAACATTTTAGTAAGATACCTGCAGCAAAATGCCAGCAGAGTGGGGTAAATGGAGATTCTAAGTAGCCTTACATTTGATCAGGCAGGTTTTGCTGCCAGATGCATTCAGGGAAGGGCAGGTATTGGATACAGTGAATTACAAACTAGACTAAAACTTAAAAACTAAAATTTTTAGTTTTGAACCTTCTGATTCTTGGAGTGTCGAGTTTGAGTGATGTGGACCATTGCAATAGAAATTGCCAACACACTACATTTCAGGTACTTTTCTAAGTGTTGTAGATATATTAACTCATTTATTCCTCAGAACAGTTAGGTACTATTATCCTCATTTCTCATTTTGGTAGGTTTTCATTTTGGTGCTGGGGACCAGATCTAGGGCCTTGGTTATGTCAGGCATATGCTGTATTACTTCAGCCTCTATCCTTATTTTATAGATGAAGAAATTGAGGCTCAGAGAATTCAGTGTTCTTTGGCATTCGTTCT